CAATGACACTGAAGGAAATCGGACTATATATCTTACCTGGTAAACGAGGCCCTTTTCCGTAAACACTGTCCGGTGGCCACGCTCAGTGATAGGTGGTTTCAGAAGGTCATGGCGGGGTCATGAGTGGAAGTGAATAGTTTAGAAACCGCTTCAGTTTTGGGTGAGGTATGCGGGTTCTCCACACTCCCCGGTCCCTCCTTTCTTCCCGCCCCCTGTTCTCTCTCTGTCTGTGTATCCGGAAGCTTCTCTCCGGCTCCGAAGGTCTTGGCTCTGAGTGGCTGTGGGGAGGAGGATGAGGAGGCCACTGTACCCGCTTGGTCACCACGGAAACAGTCAGCACACCGTGTGGGAGAGGCCAGAGTGCAGCCAGGCTGCCAGGGGATCTGACCCCACAGGGTCCCCGGGGTGGCTGGCGCTTTGGAGGTGAAGGGCTGGCCCCCCACACACACACTCTGCAGATCTCCCTCAGCCAAGCCAAGCCCCCACCACGTTACTGATGTTAGAATTCAGCAAATGCTTCTCTTGACTGTAATGTTTTTGCTGCAGAAAATAAAGCAAAAAACTTGAGCATCTGCCCTGGCTGGGTTTCTCAGTGGTTAGAGCCCGTGGACCAAGGGTTCCCGGGTTCGATTCCTGATCAAAGGCACGTCCCTCGGTTGCAGGCTCGATCCCTGGCTCTGGTCAGGGCACACGGGGAGGCAAACAATCGATGTGTCTCTCCTTCTATCCCCCTCCTTCCTCGCACCCACTCTCTAAAAATCAGTGGAAAAAAGGGCCTCGGGTGAGGATTAACCACAAAACACTCGAGCATCTGAGGGGCTCACGCTGGCTCCCCTCGGACCTAAGTCCTGACCGCCCCGCACCCGAGTCAGTCCCCTCAGGCTCGGAGTCCAGGCGGGCCAGGCACCCACAGACGGCGTCGGAGAGAACTGGAAAGCTTTGGGGGCTGAGTCGGGGACCCCCGAGGACATTGGTTAGGAAAGCGCGGGGTTCAGGTCTGGCCGGAGACACGGTCGCCCTCGGGTGTCTTGCAGGAGGTGTGGACCCCCTGGTGCGGGGCCTCCTGGCCAGGCCG